GCCTTGACCTCCCAAAGTGTTGGGATTACAGGTGTGAACCACCATGGCTGGCCACAGATTTTTAATAGGTGGAATATATTTTGATGGCCACAAAATGATGTAAATAAGACACATATCTGGATACTCACTTTCGAAGTGCTGTTTGTTATCATATCTTTCATAAAAGAAGCCACTTTCCTCGTCTTTGTTGAATGGTAAGTGTTCCTTTGAGAGTTGCAGTTAGAGCATGCCTTGCTTGTGCCATGAGGAGAGGCCGCACCATCTTGCTTGCTGCGTCTGCTTGTATTGTTCATCATACACAATTTATGATTTCTTTTCAGGAATCTTTGAAGTCACTTGTACATTCTATGAAGGTCAGTTTGGTTAAAATTAAAGCATTTTAACTGAGTACTTACAAACCGTAGTAGACCCAGATAGGCTGAAAGCAAAAGTAGGATGGAGGGTTTGGCTTCAGCGTGAACCAAGCCTCTTCTGTCAGCCACTCCTGTGTGACTGTGAGGCCCAGGGATCCACTCAGAGAAGGTACCTGTGTCAACCTCAACATTAACTGCTATCGAAGCTTCCTGTCTCTTATATTTTAGCCAGAAACAATACTTTTAATGAATTCCTTCCACATCCAAATGGATCATGTGTGCCCCTCCTGGGCACCCACTGGAAGGCTCTGAGTACTGTGTGTATTGTCCCCCTTAGTGACAAGGATCTTCATAACTTTCCTTCCTACAAAAATGAACATTAGTTTTCAGTGTTTCCAAAAATTATCCAGAAATACCACCTAAACCCCAATTTCTGTATTCTAGGAGCAAGCTGAAGAAGAAAAGAAGTCCAAGGATGGCACAATCCCTTTGAGTCACGGTAATTATCACCAATATTTACAGTGTTAGTTCACGGTGAACAACTTTTAAGTGAATTTTTATTAGATTGCTTAGTTGTTTTAGGTTTACTAATTTAAATATGTAATAATAGTTTCTACCATTTATGCAGGGTATTGCATACTCCTGCAGACTTTATCAGGGTCATCTAAGGTTTTCAAATATATGCTTCAAAAACGTCTGAAGCTCTTGTTATCTCATTTATTTGCCTTTTAAAAGGGCTTTAAATAAAACAACGTATTTGTAAATTTTCTCTGTGAAGAAGAAAATAAAGAGATGCTATTTAGTTTTTTAATAATCCTTTGTGTGAGCTTTTCCCAGACTGATGTGATCTTCTAATGATTGCATTGTATTAAAGTCATGTTTTAGAGGAGATTGTGCATTTGCTCTAAAGTGAATACTCCTCATTATGGTTATTAATACATCAATAGGTTTTAGATAATAGCCTTTTCATATTCAACTAATTCTCTGATGCTTTAAATTTAAGCCAACAGATGAAGATGCGATTTTCTGGGAATATATGTTCCACATATTTTGTGATTATTGCTATACAAGCAGACAGCTGTTACTAAATTTTCTATCAAATGTAGTAGAATGTCCAACAACTTTGTGCTATTGTCTATGGAAAGGAAGCATATAAATATCATAATGCTCCTCTAATTAACTTTTAAAGTACCTTAACATTTTGTTGAGTAAGCTTTTGTGTCTGTTTTTAAATAATGGAAACACCTAAAAATACCTTGAAAAAAATGACAAATAAGAATTGAGATTTTAAAAGACCATTTTATATGGCTTAGTCTTGGGATGCAATATTGAGAATTTGTGATTTTTCTCCCTAGATGATTTTAAAAATAAAAGCTATTTTTAAATTATAAACGAATGGGTGGTGCTTTCAATTTATTTTCTTCTCTTGCTGCATTCCCAGGCCTGTCATGTTCTTTGCTGAAAAATCAAAAAAGAATGCAGTTGTTTGATAATTATATAACTTGATGTCCAGTTCCATCAAAATGTACTTCAGTTATGTAACACTGGGATTTTAGAAATGAGTTTGGACTGTACCTGGCCCTAACAGCAGGGTGTTGTTAAAACAATTTTTTTCTTCTCAGAGAGAGGTTGTGATTTATGATGTTGCTGTATCTCGCCTGCAGCTATATTTTCACACTAATGTAAATTGTTTTAGGTTCTTTTATTCTGTGGTCGAAACATTTACTCTAGAAAAAGAAAAGCAGACTGAGGCCAACAATGTAAAACTATTCAGTCCCTCAAACTAACAGTCTTTCCTGATTTAGTATTTACAGTTTCATTACATCCAGGTATATATTTATCTCAAATAGCTTTTCAGTTTCATTTACTTTTTCTTGTTTTTAACAGGTCTGGGAGGGTCCAGTTGGAAGCTTTTCAGTTTTAACAGAAAGTAACTTTTTGCTGTGTTTTTTCATTGTTGGACTTGTTTTATAGTTAATAGTCCATTGTCAAAAGTTCGCACTGTGGCTGACTCCTCTTCAAATTTGATATTGTATTGTTCCTTTTTTCCCCAGCTGTAGAACATAATAAATGTTTAGAAAAAGGTTGAGATTTGGCGTGTGTATGTAGATGCTATGAACTGCTAGTTGTAATGAGAATTGGATGATTTGAGGGCTTTTTGAGGTAATTTATATTTTTATCATTTTTAGTGGGACAAAGGAACTGATTTCCAAATTGTTTATTGTCCTAGCATTATAATGGGGATTTTTCTCCATGAAAATAGTTTAATCTTTTATTGAGGTTGCTTATAAAACAAAATAGATTTAGTCTCTTACCTCATGTCTTAGAAATAGTAACAAAAGAAAATACTAAACAAAAACCCCACAGAACTGTATATGTACACATAATATATTTATATGTGAACAGAAAATTGTGTTGAAAAATAGGTCAGGCATGGTGGCTCATGCCCATAATCCTAGCACTTTGGGAGACCAAGGCAGGTGGATCTCTTGAGCTCAGGAGTTCAGGACCAGCCTTGGCAACATAGTGAAACCCCATCTCTACCACAAATGCAAAAAAATTAACCGGGTCTGGTGGTGTGCGCTTGTAGTCCCAGCTACTTGTGGGGCTGAGGCAGGAGGATAGCTTGAACCCAGGAGGTCGAGGCTGCAGTGAGCCAAGATCCTGTCACTGCACTCAAGCCTGGGGCACAAAGTGAGATCCTGTATAAAAAAAAAAAAATTATATTGCAAAATAAACCTTAATTCTTAGTAGTGATTTTATAACAAGCATGTGTTTCTTTGGAAATCATTTTTAAAACATTTTATTGAGTGCCCAGTCTGTGCGACTGATACTGAAGCCTGTGTTACAGCTGATGAAGCTTTACGAGGCCATTTGACTTTTGTGAGGTAAACTTAACTAGTTAGTGGTGGATGCAGAATTTGAGCCCACATCTAGCAAGTTCTGAAGCCTGTGCTCATTTTGCTTTATGTTCTTTCTACATTAACATTCTTCTTTCTATGTAGCTATTAACGCAAAGGCAGAGAAAACTAGAATCTTGATTAGAAATGGGACGGGAAAAAAATAACTGCTAATAATCAAAGTATTAATAGTGTCTACTACATCCCTCTGTGTTCTTGGGGACTGGCTGAACTAGATTTTACCTGACATAGTCATGCTGAGATTAAGTTTTTGATTCTTTTGGAAACTCTCTGACATAAACTGTTCATAGTAATTCTAAAATCTTAACTAAGATAGCCCTAAGAGAAGGCTTGTTTCAGTATTACTTGTTAATGATTGTGTGTGATTAAATTTTAGAATTAGTATTGCCAATCACAGTGTAATCCCAGACCTATATGCCTTTACATTTGAATCGCTAAAATAAAAACAACTGATTTATTCA